TAGTGACAGTGGTAGTATACCACTTTGTATGACCACATTTTAGTATAGGAGTTATATAAAAGGCAGAACAGAAGAATTGCAGTATGGGATTGTTGTAGTTGTTTCATGTGTTGTGTTCAATTAAATGCTTTTATGCAAAGCTGTCTTCCTCTTCAGTGTTGCCAGATCTGATAAGAATGAATTCACAGCCGAGCCAGTTTCTTTCTAAATGGGACCTTTTCTGTGACTCTTATATAAATGTTTGCATATTGTTTCCCCACAGAACACTCTTCAATTACAATTATATTAATACTGTTTAATCAGATTAGTTATAATTTCAACTACTGAATCAAATCAATTAATGGACCGCAGCTTTGTCTGTCTTATTCCTTTCTTTTTGCTTTACCTAAATATCATTTCAGAGCAAATAATTGCTGTACTCACTTTCCCCATCACTCCAATACTCAAGTGTAAAGAGAAGAGATAGTAGATGTTGAAATTCTCAATTGGGATTCTCTGGTCTGGCAACATCCATGGTCCAGCATAGATGTTGTCAGACCAGAAAGTCCCTGTGGAAGGCCAGCGGGGCCAGCAGGGCAGTGGGCTGCCTGCAGCAAGCTAATGGCATGTCAGCGGGGCTGTCCAGCAGGCATCACTCCAATACTCAAGTGTAAAGAGAAGAGATAGTAGATGTTGAAATTCTCAATTGGGATTCTCTGGTCTGGCAACATCCATGGTCCAGCATAGATGTTGTCAGACCAGAAAGTCCCTGTGGAAGGCCAGCGGGGCCAGCAGGGCAGTGGGCTGCCTGCAGCAAGCTAATGGCATGTCAGCGGGGCTGTCCAGCAGGGTTGGGAGCCATGGCTCCCCGGCAGGTCCCAGAGCCCCAGCACAACTTGCCCAGCTACCCTGCCAAGTGGCCACACCAGCAGGACGTGGAGAGCTGGTGTCCAGAAATGACCTCCCCTGGTCTGGCAAAATCCCTTCTCTGGGACCGGTCAGGTCCTGAGGGTGCCGGGCCAGGGAGGTCCAACCTGTAGTAGGACAAAGATCCCTGCTTTTCCCATGTAATATTTTCAGTATACAACATTACCTTTCCAGTGGCAAGCATATTACTTAATTCATAATCCTTTCCCAGCATTTGTTGCAGTTTAAAACAATGTTTTCATGCTATGTCTCTAAAATTGATGCATGTAACCAATTTTGGTTATACTAATTATGTAAAATAATGCAAATATTAGCTAAAGACAACACTGTGTCCCTTGTTTTACCCCCCCCCCCCCACAACACACACACTCTCACACACTACTCTATCTAGTATGTATTTGAAAGTGTTCCTCAGGTGATGGGTGATTTCTCATTTTCTTGATTCCTGATCTTGCATTGGTCACCAAAAGCCTAAACAGTGTCAGAAAACAGCCTCATGTTTTGTGAATTAGGAATGAGACAGACACAAATCAGAGAACAGGCAGTAAGTTCTTGACAGTGGGTCCTTGTAGGGGGCCCAGCCTTGTGGTAGATAACTACCCTGTGACAGGGCCATGGAACACCAGTACCAGTTGAGGCTGGTCTTGTTCTTGACCTGCCATGTTGTCAACAAGCAGCGATGTTCTACTCATCAGCTGTGACTCGTATAGGGAATATTTGTTTGAAGATAGGAATTGAAGAGTACTTGGCAGTGTGCAAGACATTTTCTTCCCTCTCCTTCCCCCTCCCCCCTCCAAAAAAACAGAGTACTTGGCAGTGTGCAAGACATTTTTTCCTCCTTTCTCCATTTCTTCCCTCTCCTTCCCCCTTTCCCCTCCAAAAAAAACCCCTCCTTCTATTTTGCCTAAGATTAAACACAAAAGGCCACTTGGAAGCTCTACAAGTACACAATTTAGCTCTCTGCCTTCTAAACAAAGTTCACCAGCAAAATCCTATTATCCCTGTGATCTGCACTCACTGCCAGTAAAATTGCAGTGGAAGTTTCAAGTTGTGATTACCATCCACAGAGTCCTAAACAGCCTCCAAAACAATGCTTTTCCTTTTACCTGCCACACTACTTCCATTCCTCTGGAATGCATAAAACACCAGAGCAGAAGCAAGGAGCGGGAGGGGAGAGAACTGTTCTGAGTAACAAGCACTTGTCTCTGGTATTTAGCAATATTTGTGAAGTGTGAGTGACTACATTCAGAAATATCTGTAATATGCACCTATTGGTCCCAGCATGCTTAGCTTGTTGTCGAGTTCTTCTTCATCTCTGGACTTCTTAGACATCATGAGGCTGATAGTTTAAGGATGTGTTTCTTTTGTATCCATATAGTAGAGCCAGATACTATGGTGATGGGTATCCTATAAATACTTGCAAATAAATGATCAATAGTAGAAGATACTTACATCAAAGGCAGTCAGGTTGTATCAGAGTACATTTCAAGATGTACTCTGAAAGCCTTTTGAAAGAGTCAAACACAGACCACTTGCATGTTAGGTTATAAGGTCCAGTAACGGCTGTTACTTGGATTAGGTCCGTGTTAATTTAATGTACACGTCAAACTTGAAATCCTGATGAGACACTTATCCCACTGAAGAAATAAGTATAACAAAGGAGATGTTATTTAAAAGCAAGGGAACATTTCTTAAAAACCTCTCTCAAAACAGCAGATGCTTCCAGAGCAGAATGAATTTTAAATGCAATCACTGCATGTGCTTATGGAGAATTAACAGAGGCAAATATTAAAATATAAATAAATTAAATGTAATAAAATACAAAGAGAAAATAGCACGCAAATGATTGTTTGCATATGGACCACCATAGTATGACTCAAGTAATCAAGAGAACAACGAACGGTAGACCTGGAGATTTAGTGACTGATTTGGCAGGATAAGTGCTACCATCTTCTACTGCTGTTGTATTGAAATGACAGTAGAATGTTTCCATTCAGAAAGGGCAAAACGTGAAGTGACTTTTGTATTTTGAAGAAAGAAGGAGCAAAGTAAAAACTCCTTGAAAGAGCGCTATTTGGGGAGGGGTCCTTTTTCAGGCTAGAAACATTATATAGTAGCCCAGTGTCTGAGAGTCTGTAACGCCGAAATACTGGCTGTTCCCTCTGGGCGGCACTGTTGCCTGAATCACATCCTTCACCTCATGCCGTGACTCTCAACTGACTTTTGCGCCGCTCCGCCGGGCTGCCCCGGGGGAGCCCAAATGGCTGCTTGCTCCCCTGCGGCGGCGCAGAAGTCAGCCAAGCGCCACAGTGGGAGGTGAAGGGGGCGGGGTGGTGACATACACGCCCATGGGGTGGGGCCTGGACAAGCGTGCATCCCAGACAGAGACAGAGGAGAGCGGAGAAGAGAAAGAGAGACAGAGAGAGGCAGAAGGCGGAGGAGAGCTGGGGGCGGAGGGAGGCAGTAGGAGGAGAGAGAGAGAGACCAGAGGCTCAGGAGAGACCTGAAAATCCCGTCTTATGACAGGCTAATTGGCTAGTTTCTAAAATAAGACAGAGGCTGAAATCTGTGCAGAGTGTGTCATTTTCATAGGTGTGTATTCCACAATTTTTGCTGCATATGGCACAATGGGCAGAAGAGTTGTGCCTCTCGATCTGATTATGTTCACCAGTGCTGACGTAGTTGGAATGTAACAGTTTGTTGAACCCTTGAACTGGAATCTGTATATGAGCCTCATAACAGTCCCAGGCTCTGTCTACACTACCCCCCTTGTGCAAAAACATATGCAAATGAGGCAAAGCATGGAATATTGCTGTGCCTCATTTTCATAATTGAGGCTCTGTTTTTGCATAAGAGGCTTTTGTGCAAGAGCTGTTCTTCTGGAAATAAATGTGGAAGAACGGCTCTTGCTCAAGAGGGGGGTTTTTGCACACGAAGCCATGTAGACTGCTCCTTTTTGCGCAAAAGCCTCTTGCACAAAAATGGAGCCTCGATTATGCAAATGAGGCGCAACGATATTCCACACTTCCTCATTTGCATCTTTGCGCAAAAGCCTCTTGCACAAAAATGGAGCCTCAGTTATGCAAATGAGGTGCAACGATATTCCACACTTCATTTGCATGTGTTTTCGCGGAAAAGGCTATAGTATAGACAGCCTCTGATTTGTATTGGTTCAAGCCTTTTAAAGCAGATATAAAATACATGAATAGTGGTGCCTAAAGATGGCAGCCACTTTAAGCAGGTCTCAGTTTCCCTCCTTTATTCATTCTGCCTCCTGAACCCTTTCCTTGTGGCAAAGATTCCCTTCTGCTTTCTGAGACCATTCAATGAACCAAGTAAGGTCAAAACTTTCTTTTTAGATCTATACAGTATCTTAATTGCAGTACTGTGATTACGAGTCACATCAAAACTCTGACTTCAATGGAAGCTTAATGGGGGTATAGAGAAGGCAAAAACATTTACAGCTGAGAGACTACATGGATTGGAAAGACTGACTTCAATGGAAGCTTAATGGGGGTATAGAGAAAGCAAAAACATTTACGGCTGAGAGACTAGATGGATTGGAAAGACGAATACTGTCATGTCTAACTTTGTTGCAGATGGGCCTGATCGTCTACTCCTTATTGGAGTAAAACTCTCATTGTAGATCAGGAGTTCTACCCATCTCAGGTGTAAAGAATCAAGCTCTATGAATGCATGTGTTCGTTCATTGTCACATTTAAATTGCATATCCATTCACTTAAAAATCTGGTCAATTTAATTTGTCTTCTGACAGTATCAACAAGTCAAATATTTAACAGATCCGCATCTTGGCTATAGCTCTAAAGCTAGTTCCTTAAAAGGCCTAACTAGAGATGATAGCTAATATTTTAAAATATATTAATATGTAGGATCTCTTTAGGAAGCCATTTCATGTTGTAAAATGAGGAAAAATAAAAAAAAACCCTATTTATTAATAGCCTTTCAGATTGGTGCAAATCTTTGAAGATTAGTATATTCATCATCATGTCATGTTGTGCAGCAACTTTAATTCCATATGGTTATAGGTGCCCCATGGAAAAAGGCAAATCTAATATTTTTCTGATTCTTACCAGGCTTTCAGAATAAAAATAGGGTTGCAATCCTGGCAGAACTAGACAAGGAGAAGAGAAAGCTACTTATGCAAAACCAGTCTTCCACAAATCACCCTGGAGCCAGGTACTTTATGTTCGTATACCTGTTTGGACAATACTCATACATCATAGAAAATCAAATATATTCTTTCCTTACAGGTAATCTGTAGATCTAATCAAAATACATATTAAAATTGTGTGTTGTATGTCCCCAGTAGCCAATGCAAGAATTATGTTTATATTTGTTTGTGGATTCTGAATCTTGACCTGCACACTTTCCACTTGAGAGAGAAATGGGAGTGCTTCACAACTGTTAAGCGAGCCTTCTTAAAAGAGCACGCTTCCAGAAAATGTTACTTACTAAACTAATATGCTATTTCTTGTGCTTCAAATGCACCCTTTTAAATCTAGATAATCTGGAATATTTAGGAGGATACAAAAAAGTACTTATCCTCCAGCTGTGTAAGTCTCCTGTTTAAGCACACGGGCTGTCTTGGAAAGTATAAAAAATTAAAATGTATAGGTCTGAAGCTTCTCAAAATATTGGGTAGTTAGTTATTTTAGGATACAGTGTTAAGTGGAAGAGACTTGAGGAAAAATATTCATTTTATTTTCCCCTAATACAATAAATGAAAATATTCTATTCCATTTTTTTTTAAAGCACTGCAGTTTAGTGGTGTTTTTTTTAAAAAAAACCTCCTATTCAGAGGTTCGCTATTTAGCTCTAAGTAGTCACATAGGTCTGAACAAGAAAACTGCGACTTCGAGACTTCCCTTCCCCCTCTCCCAGTTTAGAAGTATTTATCATGCAGCAACTCTAATTGTTTTAATGGGAGCTGTTGGACAATGAGATCTTTTAAAAATCTGACACTTAAGACATTAAAGGTCCCATCCTGCTTGCATCAAAATCAGGGGAAGCCAGATTGGACTCTGTGCTACACAGCATTAAGGAAAGGTAACATTTTGTTTGGTCTCATGCCTATTTTTCAAATTGAAACCTAGAATATTGTTGTTTGCCCACAGATCTGAGCGATCATTTTATATTCTGTAGCTTAACTATAGCAACAAAGGGTCTTCATCTGAGTCTTGTATCAATAGGAAACCCTTTTCCTATATGCAGAGTTCTGCAGCCATTCTGCCAAACCTCTGATCTTCCCATCATGAGGAATATGGACCCATGGTTAGTGCTATTGTTTTGTTGCATGTATTTTATCACTAAGACTATTTTAGGAAAGTCACTGGGTGGCAGTGGTGGAAAGGGCTATGAAATGTTAAACAACTCTGACATGACACCAGTGTGTCTTGATTGACTGCAGTGGAGCTACACCAGGAAAAGGAAGCTCAGACTCCGGCTTCAGGTCTCTGTTAGGCTTCTGGGTTTAGCATGGCAATATTTGGTATTTTCAGTGAAATGGCTCTGCTGTTGAAAAAACACAATGGCACTTGTATATACGTAAACTGCCAAGTCACAGCTTTTAAAACAAAACAATCGCCCGAATCCATTACACCCAGGATTCAATAGGGCAAAAATACAGCTTTGCTTATGGATAATAGATGATTCCTCCCATGTTTGTTACAGCATTGCGCTTGCAAGATCTTCGCTTAACAAGGATTTCCGGGACCATGCTGAGCAGCAGCACATAGCAGCACAGCAGAAAGCAGCATTGCAGGTGAGCTTACTAGAGTGATGGAAAGGGTTTTCCATCACTGTAATAAATCTACCTATGGATGTTAACTATAGTTTAATTGACTAATCAAATAGTCAATGGACTTTCCATTGACTACTCAATTAGTCTTAGCTAATCGAGTAGTTGGAATTTCCATTGACTGCTCAATTAGTCTTAAGAGGGGCACTTGCTATTCCACTGTGCCTCTGCCTTTGAAATGTACAAGAGCCACCTGCAGGAAAAGTGCAGGGGGACCGAAGCCTGGGGTTCTCGTACATTTCAAAGGGGGAGACACAGCAGTCGGGACCAGCACGAGTGGGGATTGCTTCAGTTCCCGCTTGCACTGTTTCCCCCTGCGCCTCTGCCTCCCTTGGGCCCCCCTCTCCACGGAGACAGTGCTGGGGAGGAACTGGCTTTTAAGCCAGCTGCCCCCACTTCTGGCTCCTGCTCTCCCCTCCCTTTGCTCACACTCCCTCAGAGGCAGCATGGGAGTGAGGGGAGCAACTAGCTGAGTCGCTGCTTGGTCAACTAGTCGCTTGCATCCCTAGTGTAAACGTGTAATCGCTAAATTTTGTAGCAGTTATGTGCTTACACACAGGGGCAGGCAGGAGCCAGAGGCAGCAGCGTGGGGGGCAGGCAGTTTCATGGGAACCGGTATACACAGGGAGCAGGCTTGAAAGCTGCATGTACCAACTCCCACCTGCCTCCTTCCCCTTGCTGCTGTCTGAGGCAGCAGTGTGTGTGGGGAGGCAAGTGGCTGCATGGGGGCTCCCATGCACTGGCTCCCGCCTGTCTCTGCACCGCCCCCCCTCCCCCCCGATATGCTGCTGCCTCCATGGGAGACAGTGGAAGGAGAGGCAGCTCTGTGGGAGCCAGCATGCATGCCTGTCTGCCCCCCGCACTGCTGCCTCTGTATCAGCACACGTGCTGCCTCGCTCCAAGCGCTAGCTCCCGAGTTGCCCCGCCTCCTCCCCACCCTGCCTCTGTGCGGGGGAGGGGGGGGGGGGAGAGAACCGCAGGCAGCTCCATGGGAGTCGGCACACATGGGAAGCCAGCTTAAAAGTTGGCTCCCCACACACACCAGAGGCAGTGAGGGTGGGGTGCATGTAACCATGAGGGTTAACCTATAATGGATACATGTTAACATCCTTAGCCTTGTGCTGTCAGTGCTTAGGTGAAGTATCCTCATTCCCCCCCCTACATTTAACACTAATAAATGTATGCCAGCTCCTCCAGCATACTTCCAATCCTTGATTTCCGTGATACGTCAGTAGTGTAAGCCAACCTACTAAACTGCTGTTACACCATTACTTTGTTATAAAATACAAATTAAAAAAAACCGAATGTTACTTTGTTATAAAATACAAATTAAAAAACAAAACCGAATGTAAGCAACACAAATGAACTTAAGGGCAACATTCTAGCTGGCATCACAGGAAAAAAAGCCAAGATGGAGAGGAGGGGGAGATCTCTGGCCTTATCACTTTGACAGTCAGAAGTAGCTAAGGGGTTTGGGCTTTGACTAACCTGACCTTATAGGAACACTTGGTACTGCAAGAGGGCACGTACATTGCGGCCTGTGTTATGGCTTTTTAGATAGCTCTGACTTATGTATACAACAAGCATAGCCAAGAGTAGGGATCCTATACTGCCATTTCTCAACACATGGCTTTGTTACACATTTGGTTCCTGCATCCAAATCCAAACGAATAGGAGTAGGAATGGTCCACTGGAATACCAGTGGAACATTAGTAGCAGATGAATTCATCTGTTTTGGAAGTTTGATAAAGCGTATGGGTGGACAAATGTAAAATAAATGCAAAGCATGAAGTTTAAATCCTGAATTATTTTGGAGCTGTGGGAGTCAATGATTTAACAAGTGTTTCCTCTTTCCAGCATGCACATGCACATTCTTCAGGATACTTCATAACCCAAGACTCTGCATTTGGAAACCTTATTCTTCCTGTCCTACCTCGACTAGAGTCGGAATGAGGGGCTGTTATTTCTCAGAATGAAGGAGAGGGATATTTTGTCCACTATCGAAGCTGCCATCTTTCAGAACTACTGTGATGTGAAAAGATAGGAGGATAACAGTTTTAAAAACTGAGGGTTTCTTTAATATTTAACCTTTTGATTTAAAGGCTGTTTCATTTCTGGATTCATGTGTTTGTCTTCCATGGTTAAGTCCAGTTTCATCTGAAAAGAGGAGCTGTAGGTTATTATAGAACTCACCATATTCTTCTTCAGTTTCTTCTTTGAAATGAGAGTCAGAATAACACTAGCTGCTCGACATATCACTCATACATTTTTTTTTGTTCTGATTTTTTTTCCCGTCTTTCCTTCAGCTGGAAGGATAGATGGATGCCTCATGCAGAATTTGAGATGCTTTTCTAATCAGCATTTACAAAGTATCTGACAATAAGTATTACACTTGCCCTAAATGAAAGCAGACAAAGCCACCTTTGTCTATTCTAAGACAGACATGGATTCAGTGGTTACATCAGTCATTTCATTCACTGTGTGCGGGAACATTATTCATTCACTCTAATGGTTTTTGTGTTTAATCTTTTTAACCGTTTCCTGGTTTCCCAGGTAGTTGGTATTTTTGTGCGCCATTTTCTCAATCCTGTTTTATAATACATAAAATCTAATCTTAAATAAAAATTATCTTCCTCTTTTCTAGTGACATGCGGTGAAAATTCCCAAAGCATCTAAGTCTCATGAAACTTAGTACTTGAAGTTAGTTAGGCACTTTTGAAAATGTTACTTAAAAGATCAAAATCTGGCCAGTTCAGCAAGTCTATTGCTAGGATAAATTATTTTGGAAGCAAGAGTAATAATACTGAAATAAAGTCATTTATTTAGGAAGTGTCTATTAGTATAGTTCTACTGCCCTAGTTCTGCTGGACATTTTTTCCCATGTGTGAAGTGAGGATCTGGGCTTGGAATCAGCTGGTACATGCCCGTACACAGTACTGATGCTTATCTGTGTCTGAAATCTCAGCTTTCATTTTAAAAAGGTCAGTCGCTAGTTACTGGTTGTAAAGAAGATTTACAAAAATGTGAACTGAGTATAAGTGATGTAGAGGCGAGTGGGCAGAGAGCAAGTAGCAATAGCTTAGACCCGTGGTCACTAAGCGGTAGCTCACGAGCTACCGGTCGCTCTCAGAGTAGCTCTTGAGCCCTCTCTGAACAGCGCGCATGCGCAGTACCTTTACATTAGATTTCCTCATTTGAGGAGCAGCTACTCACCGAACACCACCAGCGGTGAGTAGATGCGAGGAATGGTGGAAGGTTGGGAGGGCTGAAAAACCCCAGCCAGCTGGGGTTCAGCCCAGAGGAGGCTGCCCCGCGCTCCAGCTGATCGGCGGCTTCCCTTGTGCATCAGCCCACGTGGAGCGTGGTGCACCCGGGCTGAGCGCCATGGCCAGCTGGCCGGGCAGCCGCTTCTGTTCCTGCCC